AAGGATAATTTAGAGAAGCCAATTAACCTAACATCATGTTTTTGGACTGTGGGAGGAAGCTAGAGTACCCAGAGAAAACCCACACATGCTCAGGGAGAATATGCTAACCCCATGCAGAAAGACCCCAGGCAGGAATCAAACCCAGAACCTTCTCACTGCAAAGCAGCCGGGATACCCACTTCACTTATGTGCAGCCCCTTTGTGGGACACTGATGTAGAATTAGTCGACTGCAGTCTTTTTAGAAATGAGCGAACCCCAGTAGGCAGCTTTAGCAGAACCCTGTTTTCACTCCTTTCTTCTTGATTTATAAAATAGGCTGCGATCTACACAGATATTTACTCCGTGTTGGTTTAAACGTAAATCCCTTTATTTATGGAGAAATTCCCTCTCTGCATTTAACCCATCCCCTCTTCCAGAGTTCCAGTGTTCAGTCAGGTTTCTTCCTAGGAGGCAGAGAAGACAAACAACTGATTAGGTTCAGGTTCAAGGTTCTGGGGAGTCAGAGAATCAGACAGGCTGGTTGGCTCAGGCTTCGCTAACCATAACTGGCTTAACACTCTGGCGCTGGAGAGAAGTCCTGCTGCTGCTTATATGCTGGTCTCCTGATGACTGATGGATCGCAGGTGTGGTCGTCAGCTCAGCTCCAGGAGACCTAGAGGCGCCCTCTGCTGGAGGAAGGTGGACAGACCTCCAGATCCCAACATATGCTAGTGATCAAAAACGGTTTTGTTATAAGAATTTATTATTTTCTTTCAAATTTGATTTGTTTATGTTTTCCTTTTATAAATGTTATCTTTTCATTTTTATTTAAAATTTCTGTTTTTCCGATTGAAAAAAATTTTAAGCAAATTTTGGAAAAAATGTAATTAGAAAAATAAAACATTTTTTAAAATTTCATTTCACACCTACCATAAATGAAAGGTTCACAGCCTTCATCTGGTGTCACTGAAATGAATAAAAGAAACTCTATTCTTTACAATCTATAGTGGAAGAACATCAACAAACAAAGAAAAAGAAAAGTTTAGATGAGTCAAAGATTATACATTAAACTGGACAAAAACAGACCCAATAAAATAAATAAAACGTATAAAATAACACGCCTGTGTTCTCCCCCCCACACTGAGGAGGTCTGTGTTTTGGTCCCTCTGAATGTTGGTGGTGTTTTCACAGACGGACTCTTCCACCATCACAGGTGGTTCAGGTTGTAGGGAGGTCATGGAGGCCAAACCCAACGCTCAGCCTCATTCTGACCTGTTTGAAGGACATTACATCACACCCTGATCATTTACATCACATCCTGATCATTTACATCACAACCTGATCATTGACATCACATCCTGATCATTGACATCACAACCTAATCATTTACCTCACATCCTGATCATTTACTTCACATCCTGATCATTTACATCACAACCTGATCATTGACATCACATCCTGATCATTGACATCACAACCTGATCATTTACATCACATCCTGATCATTGACATCACAACCTGATCATTTACATCACGTCATGATAATTTACATCACATCCTGATCATTGACATCACATCCTGATCATTGACATCACAACCTGATCATTTACATCACGTCATGATCATTTACATCACATCCTGATCATTTACATCACACCCTGATCATTTACATCACAACCTGATCATTGACATCACATCCTGATCATTGACATCACAACCTGATCATTTACATCACATCCTGATCATTTACATCACATCCTGATCATTTACATCACAACCTGATCATTGACATCACATCCTGATCATTGACATCACAACCTGATCATTTACATCACATCCTGATCATTGACATCACAACCTGATCATTTACATCACGTCATGATCATTTACATCACATCCTGATCATTGACATCACATCCTGATCATTGACATCACAACCTGATCATTTACATCACGTCATGATCATTTACATCACATCCTGATCATTTACATCACATCCTGATCATTTACATCACGACCTGATCATTTACATCACAACCTGATCATTTACATCACGTCATGATCATTTACATCACATCCTGATCATTGACATCACATCCTGATCATTGACATCACAACCTGATCATTGACATCACAACCTGATCATTGACATCACATCCTGATCATTGACATCACAACCTAATCATTTACATCACATCCTGATCATTTACTTCACATCCTGATCATTTACATCACAACCTGATCATTGACATCACATCCTGATCATTGACATCACAACCTGATCATTTACATCACATCCTGATCATTGACATCACAACCTGATCATTTACATCACGTCATGATAATTTACATCACATCCTGATCATTGACATCACATCCTGATCATTGACATCACAACCTGATCATTTACATCACGTCATGATCATTTACATCACATCCTGATCATTTACATCACACCCTGATCATTTACATCACAACCTGATCATTGACATCACATCCTGATCATTGACATCACAACCTGATCATTTACATCACATCCTGATCATTTACATCACATCCTGATCATTTACATCACAACCTGATCATTGACATCACATCCTGATCATTGACATCACAACCTGATCATTTACATCACATCCTGATCATTGACATCACAACCTGATCATTTACATCACGTCATGATCATTTACATCACATCCTGATCATTGACATCACATCCTGATCATTGACATCACAACCTGATCATTTACATCACGTCATGATCATTTACATCACATCCTGATCATTTACATCACATCCTGATCATTTACATCACAACCTGATCATTTACATCACATCCTGATCATTTACATCACATCCTGATCATTTACATCACATCCTGATCATTGACATCACAACCTGATCATTTACATCACAACCTGATCATTTACATCACAACCTGATCATTTACATCACAACCTGATCATTTACATCACATCCTGATCATTTACATCACAACCTGATCATTTACATCACATCCTGATCATTTACATCACAACCTGATCATTTACATCACATCCTGATCATTTACATCACATCCTGATCATTGACATCACATCCTGATCATTGACATCACAACCTGATCATTTACATCACGTCATGATCATTTACATCACATCCTGATCATTTACATCACATCCTGATCATTTACATCACGTCATGATCATTTACATCACATCCTGATCATTTACATCACATCCTGATCATTGACATCACATCCTGATCATTGACATCACAACCTGATCATTTACATCACGTCATGATCATTTACATCACGTCATGATCATTGACATCACAACCTGATCATTTACATCACATCCTGATCATTTACATCACATCCTGATCATTTACATCACAACCTGATCATTTACATCACATCCTGATCATTGACATCACAACCTGATCATTTACATCACATCCTGATCATTGACATCACAACCTGATCATTTACATCACGTCATGATCATTTACATCACATCCTGATCATTGACATCACATCCTGATCATTGACATCACAACCTGATCATTTACATCACGTCATGATAATTTACATCACATCCTGATCATTTACATCACATCCTGATCATTTACATCACGTCATGATCATTTACATCACATCCTGATCATTTACATCACAACCTGATCATTTACATCACATCCTGATCATTTACATCACAACCTGATCATTTACATCACATCCTGATCATTGACATCACAACCTGATCATTTACATCACAACCTGATCATTTACATCACAACCTGATCATTTACATCACATCCTGATCATTGACATCACAACCTGATCATTTACATCACAACCTGATCATTTACATCACATCCTGATCATTGACATCACATCCTGATCATTTACATCACATCCTGATCATTTACATCACATCCTGATCATTGACATCACAACCTGATCATTTACATCACAACCTGATCATTTACATCACAACCTGATCATTTACATCACATCCTCAATTCAATTCAATTCAATTCAGTTTATTTATATAGCGCCAAATTCACAACACATGTCATCTCAAGGCACTTCACAGTTCAACCAGATCATAAAGTCAAATTGATACAAAGTTCTCCATCTAAGGAAAACCAGTTGATTGCATCGACTCATTGACTCAATACAATCCCTCACACTAAGCATGCTTGTAGCGACAGTGGAGAGGAAAAACTCCCTTTAAACAGGAAGAAACCTCCAGCAGAACCAGGCTCAGTGTGAGCGGCCATCTGCCGAGGCCGACTGGGTTCAAGAAGACGGAAGCAGAGACACAAAAGCAGCTGTAATAGGCGGCCCCGTCCAGGAAACACACAGCCAGGCAGACGAGCTCCGAGCCAGCTCCCATGTCAGAGGACGAAGAAAGCACATCCACCCAGTCACAGCACAGCTGATGTTTCTTTCCAGGATGACGTCACAGCCAAACAGGAACAGACAAGGCAAAGCTACTCTGAGGAAAAGCAGATAGAGCAGAAGGTTAGAGATTGAACTAACAGATTCTGCAGAATAGGAGAATAGAAAGAGAATGAAGCAGAACATCCTGATCCTGATCAGCCTGGAGGGTTTTTACCCACTTTGATTGGGTGTGACTCTAAATCCAGGCCTCCATTGGTTAATAAAGTTGATTTCAATTGATATTATTTTTGGGTGATTTTGCTCTCAGCTGTTTCAGCTTCTTATAGAACAAAGAATTTACTGAGAATCTTTCATTGTTCAGATCTAGGACCTTTTTTTTGAGTTTTTCCTTTATTTTTTTCAGCAGATCTCTTTATGTATGAATATCTGGGAAAACGGCAAAGTTAATCTCAAAATCCTGTTTAGGCTAATTTCAATCAACAGATTCTGACTTATAAAACCTGTTTCTATAATTTTAGCAGAATATTCTTTCTGTATGCTACCAGGACAAAAATATTTAACGAATCAATTTAATAGTGAAGTTTAAGTGAAATGAAATTGTTTGTGCTTCAGATGTGGACGAATGTATGAATGACTACAATGGCGGCTGCGTCCATGAATGCATCAACATCCCAGGGAACTACAGATGCACCTGCTACGATGGATTCATGCTGGCCCACGATGGACACAACTGTCTGGGTGCGTATGACTTTAAAGGCTGCCAGCCCATCCAGCCTCCAGCTTGGTTGGTTTTTATGGTTCCTGCAGGAACCGTGTCTGTCTCCCTGCCAGCTCCCAGATCACTTTATCTGATTGGTTGATGCTCAGCAATCAGCAGCTAAATGTCAGATTTTCCAACTTTGGACACGCTTGAAACCGAACGGGCTGAAAACGCTTCAATATGTGCGGCGCCAGACGATGGAACGGCGACGCCCCTTGATGCGCTTCTGCCACAGACTTTTCATGTTTCCCTCCAAATACGTTCGTGTCGTCGCAGCATTAGCTCCGGCTTTAAGGAACGCCAACATTCCCTTCTTTATTCCAGGTGTATTTATCTTCTTTTAAGCTCTTAATCTTTTCCTCATCTGCAGGAGTTCCTTGTTTAATCAAAGTCTTTTCTAGCTCAGGTCACATTGTGTTTTGATATTAAAAGACAAAAAGTTTACTGACAAATGGACCAAAACCACCAAAATAATGGATAATATGCCAACAGGGCGCCGTGATTTAATGGGAAATCCTTTCTATGGAACCAGTTAGATATTACTGTAGAAATTGATAAAGCCATGAGGTCTGGTCCAATAGTTAGGAAGGACTTATTCTGATGAGATGCATTTAGGACAGCCTAACTTTCAACTAGTAGTACTTCAATCAGTTCTGTTTTTCTGATTGATTTCCTAATTTAACGGATCACACAGAAAATAGCTAACAGGTTACGCTCCTGTTAGCTGCCACTGAGGAGGAGGAGGAGGAACAGGAGGAGGAACAGGAGGAGGAGGAGGAGGAGTGGGGATTATGTCTTAGCTTGCATTTGGGAAGCTAATCCCAACAGTAAGTGGCGTTTAGCGCCTGGCGAGAGGAAACCAGCTGTGTCTGTTTCTAACCTCAGACTGGTTTTACTGGATGTTGACTGGATGCAGCTTTAATGAGCTGCTGCTGATTAAAACCGAGTTCAAACACGGCAGTAAATAGAAAATCCCAGACAGACAGAATATCTGTGATCACTTTCTGCTCAGACCTCCTGTCTGATCCTTTGCTTTGTTTGTTCAGGAAGCATTTTGTAGAAAACCTTGATTCTAAAACTTTTTCCATCTTATAGAAAAGGTTTTCTGATGTTGCTCTATTACAGTTTACATCTATGTATTAGTGAGATTTAATTTCCAAAATAAAGGCGCAACATCTCTTTTCTCAGGGCGATCACAGTTTTATTCTCATAATGACTTTATTCTAGAAATGTTAAAACCTTTTTCTGGTTATCATAAATAATTACAGACCTCATACCTTGTGATAGAGCACTAATATCAGGGAGGAAAGGAAAGACGTACACAGTATTTATGAGAACAGTATACAGACCGACAGCGACGACCAGCAGACAGACCGACAGCAACGACCAGCAGACCAGTATACAGACCGACAGCAACGACCAGCAGACAGACCGACAGCAACGACCAGTTGACAGACCGACAGCAACGACCAGTTGACAGACCGACAGCGACGACCAGCAGACCAGTATACAGACCGACAGCGACGACCAGCAGACAGACCGACAGCGACGACCAGCAGACAGACCGACAGCAACGACCAGCAGACCAGTATACAGACCGACAGCAACGACCAGCAGACAGACCGACAGCGACGACCAGTTGACAGACCGACAGCGACGACCAGCAGACCAGTATACAGACCGACAGCGACGACCAGCAGACAGACCGACAGCGACGACCAGCAGACAGACCGACAGCAACGACCAGCAGACCAGTATACAGACCGACAGCAACGACCAGCAGACAGACCGACAGCGACGACCAGTTGACAGACCGACAGCGACGACCAGCAGACAGACCGACAGCGACGACCAGCATACAGACCGACAGCGACGACCAGCAGACAGACCGACAGTGATGACCAGCAGACCAGTATACAGACCGACAGCGACGACCAGCATACAGACCGACAGCGACGACCAGCATACAGACCGACAGTGACGACCAGCAGACCAGTATACAGACCGACAGCGACGACCAGCAGACCAGTATACAGACTGACAGCGACGACCAGCATACAGACCGACAGTGACGACCAGCAGACAGACCGACAGCAACGACTAGTTGACCAGTATACAGACCGACAGTGACGACCAGTATACAGACCAACAGTGACGACCAGCAGACAGAACGACAGCAACGACTAGTTGACCAGTATACAGACTGACAGTGACCACCAGTATACAGACCAACAGTGACGACCAGTATACAGACCGACAGCAACGACTAGTTGACCAGTATACAGACCGACAGTGACGACCAGCAGACAGACCGACAGCGAAGACCAGCATACAGACCGACAGCGAAGACCAGCATACAGACCGACAGCGAAGACCAGCATACAGACCGACAGCGACGACCAGCAGACAGACCGACAGCGACGACCAGTATACTGACCGACAGCGACGACCAGCAGACAGACCGACAGCAACGACCAGCATACAGACCGACAGCGACGACCAGCAGACAGACCGACAGCGTCGACCAGCATACAGACCGACAGCGATGACCAGCATACAGACCGACAGTGACGACCAGCAGACCAGTATACAGACCGACAGCGACGACCAGCAGACAGACCGACAGCAACGACCAGCATACAGACCGACAGCGACGACCAGCAGACAGACCGACAGCGACGACCAGCAGACCAGTATACAGACCGACAGCGACGACCAGCAGACAGACCGACAGCAACGACCAGCATACAGACCGACAGCGACGACCAGCAGACAGACCGACAGCAACGACCAGTATATAGACCGACAGCGTCGACCAGCATACAGACCGACAGCGTCGACCAGCATACAGACCGACAGCGTCGACCAGCATACAGACCGACAGCGTCGACCAGCATACAGACCGACAGCGTCGACCAGCATACAGACCGACAGCGTCGACCAGTATACAGACCGACAGTGACCACCAGTATACAGACCAACAGTGACGACCAGTATACAGACCGACAGCAACGACTAGTTGACCAGTATACAGACCGACAGCGACGACCAGCAGACAGACCGACAGCGACGACCAGCAGACAGACCGACAGCGACGACCAGCATACAGACCGACAGCGACGACCAGCAGACAGACCGACAGCGACGACCAGTATACAGACTGACAGTGACGACCAGTATACAGACTGACAGTGACGACCAGTATAGAGACTGACAGTGACGACCAGTATACAGACTGACAGTGACGACCAGTATACAGACTGACAGTGACGACCAGTATAGACTGACAGTGACGACCAGTATACAGACTGACAGTGACGACCAGTATAGAGACTGACAGTGACGACCAGTATACAGACTGACAGTGACGACCAGTATAGAGACTGACAGTGACGACCAGTATACAGACCGACAGCAACGACCAGTATACAGACCAACAGCAACGACCAGTATACAGACCGACAGCATCGACCAGTATACAGACCGACAGCAACGACCAGTCGACCAGTATACAGACCGACAGCGACGACCAGTCGACCAGTATACAGACCGAGAGTGACGACCAGTATACAGACTGACAGCAACGACCAGTATACAGACCGACAGCATCGACCAGTATACAGACCGACAGCAACGACCAGTATACAGACCGACAGCATCGACCAGTATACAGACTGACAGCAACGACCAGTATACAGACCGACAGCATCGACCAGTATACAGACCGAGAGTGACGACCAGTATACAGACCAACAGCAACGACCAGTATACAGACCGACAGCATCGACCAGTATACAGACCGACAGCAACGACCAGTCGACCAGTATACAGACCGACAGCAACGACCAGTATACAGACCGACAGCATCGACCAGTATACAGACCGACAGCAACGACCAGTCGACCAGTATACAGACCGACAGCGACGACCAGTCGACCAGTATACAGACCGAGAGTGACGACCAGTATACAGACTGACAGCAACGAACAGTCGACCAGTATACAGACCGACAGTGACGACCAGTATACAGACTGACAATGACGACCAGTATACAGACCGACAGCAACGACTAGTTGACGAGTATACAGACGACAGCTTTGACCAACAGACAGACCGATAGCGTCGACCAGCATACAGACCGATAGCGACGACCAGTTCAAATAATATCCTAGAGATGAACAGAAATAGAAATACAAAGAAATACTTGAAAAATGAAATATGTCAATGAATTTTTCTGGAAGTATTTAAGGCTGTAAATGACTTTTACTTCCCTGGAATCGGGGAAATGCTGCTGGATTATCAGCCTGACCACCCAGTCCGTCTCGGCCTACTGCTGTTGCCAACCTTCGAACCCTCCTTACATTCCGCTCAATGTCTCTCAGACTGAGTCCAGCTGTTTTATCTTGGCTCACCTCTGGATCGATGATGAGGAGGTCACTCTTCATCAGCTCATGAATGTCATGGTCTTTGTTCTAAGTTTTCTCTTTGAGTTTTCATTGGTTTTATTTCCATTTGGTCTTATTCTAGTTATTTTGCTTGTATTCCAGTTCTTATCTATTTGTAGTTGACCCTCTTGTCAGTCTCTTTCTCCAAGCTCCCTTCTAGACCCTTCTTTCCACACCTGCTCCTCGTCTGCTAATAAGTCGTCCCATTGTTTCTGTCTCCCATATATACTCCTCCTGTTCAGTCTGTCTTTGCTGTTTCCTCATCATTGCTTTGCCCTTTATGTCAGTTTTTCCTTGAGGTTTTTTGGTTTTCTGTATTTTGGTGTTTTTGTAATTTGCTTCAGTTTCCATCTTTTTTTGTCTCGGTATTCTGGTCGTCTTCACGCCTCCACTCAACCTGACAGTGAAGAAGGGTCTGATGGAGGCAAGGACTCCTCCTTCCACTGCATCCTAACATCAACTCTTCAACTCTTGACTTGCGTTTGCATCTGCCATCATCTCTTTTCCTGCCTGATCTTGTCTTCCTCCCATTT